TGCCCGGAAAGGAGACTGCGCATGCTCCAGGAAACTGACTAGGGCAGGGCCAAAGACGGGCCTGCAATGCGGGTGGCAGACACGCACTTGCGTCAGGACGGAAGCGAGAAAGGGGGGGTCATGGGGAGAAGCCAATTTCAACTGCGTCACAATTGAATTCGGCCTCAAAATTGAGTTTTTGTCGAACCAGTCACTACGACTCTTAGATCTCATACTTACAGTTTGCATTTTAAGCAATTTTGGAGGAGATTTTGACTGAGAGCCTATCAGTGCGCACGCGCAGACCCGATTCTACCAACCCAGGATGAGACTTGTTCTCGAGGGCGGAAGTGGTGGAAGCAGAGGAAAGGGCGGTGCTAGGCCCTCTGGTCACGCGCACGCGGCCCCCACTCCTCCCCCAGGAAGAAGGTGGAAAAAGGTGCCGGGGGTGGCGTGAAGGGGGGGTGGGCTGAGCGAAGGCGAAGGAAGGATAGCCAATTAGCTAGCGAGTTGTCTTTCGAGTTGACCAATGAATTCATGCCTCGCGCACAATGTCTCGCGACAAGGGAAGGGCACTAGCACGTTTGGGCGCGTTGGGCGGTGTCCGAGTATAAAATACTCCGCCCGAGCGGGTAGCCGCCATTCTGGGGTTCGTTTAGAGGTAAGTTTCGGTAATTTGTCGGTTAGAGGGTGAAATTTTACTGAGAGCATTGGACTGGGAAACGGGTTAGGCGTGAGATTTTTTTGAGAACCATGGCTTGTTGTAAGTGGCTGTGTTCGGCATTGTACATAAAGGTGTTTGAGACAACAAAGATGGCAATTTGGGGTGTTTAAAGGCAACCCGTACTGATTACATCTTTCTCCCTTGTGTTCCTTTTATCCCAGGTTTGAATTTTCTCGGAGAAAGACAGGCCGGCCACGAGGAAAAAAGAAACAAGCCGCAGCAACATCTAAGCCCTTGAAAGGATCCTGAGAAGGGGGGAAAGGGAAAACAGCAGCCACCAGCCCAACCACTTGTGTCTTCTGCCCCTTCCCATCTATCTTACCCACCCCACCAGCCCACGCTGCTTGGGACTTGAAATCTGTGACCGAAGGACCGTCACCACATAACTTCAAAAATAACCACCCTCCCTTCCTAAGCCCACCCAAACTCACTTATCCAGCGTTTACTTTTTTGAATCCACTCAGAACTTTTTTTCTACGACCCCCCTCCCTAAATGGAGTTGGGTGGGGGGGGAAATGAATACTGAGTTGGCCTTTGTTTTTTTAAGAGACTTTTTGATCCAATGAGGCCCTCCAAATAGTTTTGGGTCCTGGTTGGTTGGTTTTATTTTTTCTCCAAAATTTTAAACCCCTCCCCCCTGAGCCCGAGGTGCTGACGTCGCAAAAAAATTGGATAGTAAGTGTCGAATTTTCAAAAACGAGGCTTGCAACAAGAAATCAACGTTTCCCTTTGTGAAACCAAAAATAATGAGAGGAAGAAATGAGACAAAATAGAGAACTGGAGAAAGGACCAAGCCGGTCATTTAATCTCTATTAAAAAGGTCCTTTGGGTCTAAGCAGTCTTGTTCTCTCCCTTACCACCTGCCTCTTTCCTGCCTTGCTGCAGGCAAGGAGTGGGTGGGAGGAGGGCCAGCAAGTGAGGATTTTGACGGTTAACCCTTCGTAATCCAATCAATTTCCAGACTGCCAAAACCATAAGTTTTTTTTTTATGAGGAATGGTTAACTTCCTCCCGTTAGCAGCAGTCTTCAAAAGGGTTAATGAGCTCACATACAAAAGATGGTGGATCTTGTTCCCCAGAAGTCCCACTTCTTTGTGTGTGAGACGAGCAGGGTGCCTTTCAATTTGCCAGATTAATAAGCAATCTGTACATAAAGATTGCAGGGTAAGGAGATGGGCAGAGAAATACTAGCTGGCTATGGCTTTTAAGATGATTGTTAAATCCTCAGTTTTTATGTAATATGCTTGGGGTATATTTGTGTGGTTAAAATAGATGGCAATCTAGGAATAAAGATTGCAAGACACAATTCAGGGCAAAATATAGTGCAAGTACATACAAGATAGTTGGGGAAGTAATGTTTTGTGATTGTTGCAGATTGCATAATTTATTTAAAAGCAAGAAATTAACATTTTAACTTGATACTTATTGGGGGGAATTCAGTTAAGTAGAGGGTGGAAAGTTTTGGGAATGTGGAGTTCAGGAGTATAATTTAAAAGCCATTTAGTGCAATTGAATGCTAGCTTTCTGAAAGATTTGTGTCGTTAAAAGGAACTTTTTTTTTTTTCCCTGCTTCAATATGGCTACTTGTCCTTTCGTCTTCCAAGCGGTGTTGCAGGTTGTGTCTCCCATTTTTCTTTTGTCCTACCTCCACCCTGTTTGTTGAGAGGGGCCCAAGTCCTCCCCCTTTCCCTTTACAGGGAGCTCGGGGATGGTTGATGGTAGGTTGAACCTTAATTGTAAATTCAGTTCTTCCCTGCAGAAAATTGTTATTTTTAATATTTTAATTGCTTTTATTTTCACAACGCTCTTACTCAAAATAGGTCAAAGACTTAAGGATGGGAGCATTTTTTTTTAATTTATTTTTTTTACTAAAAAAGGTGCGTTTTAATGTAACCAGGTACCGGCAGCGCTGGTATAGCTTTTTTTTTCCTCCATTACAAAATGGCGTCCCTGCTTCTTTGTTGTTTTGCTGAAGAGTATAGGGCCGTAGAAACTTGGTCAAGGGGGAGGAGCAGCACTGAAAGGTGATGTAATCAGCTTGCTTCCTCTCTCCACCCTCTTCAAACTCCACCCCTGAGCAGATGCCTCTTGGACTCTGCTCGCAGCCAGGAAGATCTTTTCCTTGTTTTCTTTATAATCTTGTATAGCCTTTATCTTGGAAGGGAAAAAAAGCCTACAGGAATTAGATCTTAAAGCTGTCTTGTTTCCTAGGGCAGCTCTAGTTTTTATATTTAGGAATCAGAACCTGTTACTTTTATTTTCACCTTCCACTCATCACAACTGGAAGTTTTCCTTGCTCCGGTTGCCAGGGGTAGAGAACCAGTTAAACCAACTATAAGACAGCCTTTTGGGGGAGTGTGTGTGAGCTTGTGCGTAATATGTGTTGGGATACTGGGGAAAAACACCAAGAGCTTGTGAAAGTAACTTGAGACAAATGGAGCCTAATGACACTGAAATGTGCCATTTCTGCTCAGGAACCAGTCCTTGGGCCTCCTGCATTTGGCCACTTGGTATAATAAGAACCTGGGAGAGGGTGGGTACTTGAGGAATTTCTTCTAAATTACCCTTATTCTTGCCTCTGGGTTTGGGGATAAACTCTTTGTGTTCAGTACTGTATCACGTTCTGCAGTTGCTTAGCTCCTGTACATTGGTACTAGGATGAGAAGTGAATCTTTAGGAAAGGAGGCGGCAGTTGTAAACTCAAGGCAGGGGGAATCAAGCTACAGTTTCTGGTAAGCAAAACCTTTCTGGTATTACATTTCACAACTTTCATTTCTTTTTTCCCAAGAGCCACCTTCTTTTTGAATTTCTTTTTCCTTCTAAAAGAAATTCCTTAACATTAATGGGAGAATAATGCCTTCATTTTCAACTCATGCAGTGCTATAGCAGTTGGTGCATGTTCAAAAGCCATGCCTTATCTGAGGGTGGTATTGGGTGTCCTGTCTCTTTCTTCCTCCAACTTTTTCAAAATCAAATCTTAATCAGATTATATACTTTTCATTTTTTAAAGTCCTGCTTTGAAGCGTGGAGGTTCTAGGCAGACTTGGGAAGCCATTTTGTACAACTACCCTGTGGTGACTTGGATGAGACTTCAGGGCTAATTTTCTACTGGGTATGGATTCTCAAATTATTAAACCTATGGATTGGATGGGTGGGACTCTTCCACATGTCTATTGACCACGAGTTTTTATCTTTTAAGCAGTTTGCCATGTGCCTGTGCAGCATACTTTCCTTGGGAGCTGGACATTCTGCCCACTGGGGTTCCTGATCTCTAGTGATTAATAAAGAAGAACTTTCATAACGTGGGAGATGGGAAACAAAGTCTTCTAGGGAAACCAAATCCATCCAAAGAACCTCGGAGAACCTGATCCTTGTAGTTTTTGGCCAGAGTTCTATGCTGGGATCCTTTCCTACTGGGATGGGGCAGGGGTGGTGATTTTTACAGATAAGCTTTTGGGGATATCATGCACCAGGTTTTCAAAATGACAGGGATAGTTGCTTACTACTCAGAAGAGAGGTACAACCTTGTGAATCACAAATTGTGAGAAACAATTTAGTCCACTATTGAGTCATACTGGGAAATGCCTCAAACACTGAAGAAAGGAAGGGCTTAGGTACAAAGCATTTTTCATTTCCAGAAGTGCTAAGGCCTCCAAGTTAAGGTAAACTTGGACTCCTTCCTCTTGTTAGAAGAGTATTGTGATTGTTTTAAAAAGGATTCTGGCTTGCATAGAATTTTTGTCCTGAACCAGTCCAGTTCTATTTTATTGGTGGTAGGTATGGAACTTAGCCAAGCTAAATATTTTTCACCCTGTTTAGTTGAATAGCCCTCATGTAAAAATCACTTTGGAGACCGGAGTCAGTGTCACTTCTGGACTTTTAAATTTATCTCTGCTAAGAATAGTAGAAGACTCCCCAGTGCCTTGTGTCAGTAGTGCAGGTCCTTGCCTACAACATCCTCCATAAGGAAAGCATGAGCATAGGACAAGGTGAAGATAGAGTAGGGGTTGCTTTTTCTCTCCTCTCCTGTATGTTCTGCTTTCAAGGACAGTAAAATGTGCCCTAGATGATTTTTGGTTCCAGAAAGCTTTCTCAAGCTTCAATTCCAGGCTCCATATGTGACTAGGTAATGTTATGTCACTTGGTCAGTGCTCCTTCTCTGGTCAACTCATTTGCCTTTTTTTCTATAGGCCTGTGCCAGGAATTTAGGCTCTTCATTCCGTTCCATCTGAGCCCCTTGGCACTTCTTTCAAATGAACTGACTTT